CTGCCCATCCTTTCCGGTCTGGGGGGTGCAGTGGGGCCTGCTGGTGCAGAATGATCACTGTGTGCGTCTCCCAGGTGGGGCTGCTGGTGCAGAATGATCACTGTGTGCGTCTCCCAGGTGGGGGCTGCTGGTGCAGAATGACCACTGTGCGTCTCCCAGGTGGGGGCTGCTGGTGCAGAATGACCACTGTGCGTCTCCCAGGTGGGGGCTGCTGGTGCAGAATGATCACTGTGCGTCTCCCAGGTGGGGGGCTGCTGGTGCAGAATGAACACTGTGCGTCTCCCAGGTGGGGGCTGCACTTCTGTGAGCGATGAAGTAGGTCCCCCTCCTTAATGTAAAGTGCTTTGGAATTCTTCAGGATGCTAAATATATGAAATGATTAAAAAATAACGGGTAAATAAAGCATGTTGATCTAAAATGAAACGTCATTTGGAGACACGGGGCTTGTATTCGAGTTGTTCTTGAGTTCTTATGTCTGAGCTTTTTGTGTGTGGGGGGGGTTGTGTGGACACCCCAATTATTTTTGCAAGATGCTTCAAGAGAAATGGCTTGGGTCAGAGAGGCATCCCTGTTTCGTCTTGTCGCGAAGAGGGGAGCTGTATGTCGAGCCTGTGATAGCTGCCATCCTGATGAGGCCGTGGACGTATGTGTCCGAGGTGGACGGTGCAGAGAGTGGCCACCCTTATCTGTGCACAGCTCTGCCTTGCCTTTCGCCGTTGCAGTCTGAGGGGGCGTCTCTCCGCGTACTGACCCCATCCAGCGCTTCGTGAGAGCCGGGCTTATCTGCAGAAGAGCCTGTGCCTTAACTTTAAATATCAAATCTTCGCTCTTAATCACCTGGCATGGAGACAGGCTCTGCTGCTCTCTGAGTAATGCCCTGTGGGTTTTATCTCAGTGCCGTTAGCTCCCAGCCAGAGCTCCGCTATGGGATAATTGGCCCAAATTGCACAATTTAGACACCGACTCTCTAATCGATAGTCATCTGGGGAGAACTGGCAGCTGTCAATGAAGAGGCAGGTGGAAAAATTAGCCTGATATGATCCAAAGAGCGTATGGATAGAGATCACCGCAGAAAAAAAAAAATAGTGCATATCTTTTCACTTTTGATCTATGTACCTATACAGCTGGTTATTAAGTAGAAGTGTTATTATAGTCTTGTTGATGACCACTGTTAATGCCACGGAGTAGACCGCTTAGCTGTATTCTTTTATAATTTGTGATAAATGGTATGGTAAAGGTATGGTATAAGAGCACCGCAGTATTATCAGTATGTGCTGTATATGTCTACATCCGCATGTTGTGAGACAGTTGTCTTCATGGGTGAGATGGATCCAAAATAGACCAGGTGCAGTGAGATGCTAGACTCCCTAGTCCGTTCCTGTGTCAATCTTTTGATACAGCCATTAATCACTGTATGTTACTGTCTTAAACCTATTGATCAATGAAAGAGAAGGTTGGACACAAAAGCCGGACTGAAGTTCGGGTTAGACAGTCGTATTTGGCTATAACTGAAGTAGGCTGCGAAGGGAAAAAAAGTAAAGGTTTATTCCGGTGCTGAAAAGAGACGAAAAGAAACGCAATGTTTCGGCTGTGGAGCCTTCTTTGGGTGAAGGCTCTCTACTTGAACTATTACAGAAGTAAATTCAAAACTTAATCAATAAATAAAGCCTGTCCTGTCCAGTTATGGAGCTTCATTCCAACAAGCCCTTAGAAAGTTATTTTTCGACCAGTGTTACGATCGCTGTAGTGAATCAGGTGGATGGCGAGTTACAGATCTCATTCAACATGCAACATTTAAAAGTGTGCCACCAATTGAAAGCCGTTAGCCTGTGGTTGAGCTCATGTGGGGAAAAACAGAATTGTGCAGCGATCCTGCGGGACCCGGGTTGAGAACTGCTCTGGGTCGCTCTGTGACCTCAAGGGAGGGAGAGGGGTGAGATGGGGTTGTCTGGAGTGGAGATAAAATACTAATTGATCTTCAGCAGATCTCGCTGTTCTATCTTTGGGGGGGGGGGGGGAAGGAGACTCACTAAGAGCTGCCATACACCTGTGTTGAGCTCCAGTTGGCCCTCACTGACTGGCGTGTCGGTTCTGGATCGGGGGGTAGCGCAATATGTGGATATTATCTTGGGTGTCAAATTTGCAGTCCGAGTTTTCGACTGGAGCGATCGGATGGTAAGACGGGTCTCTCCTCGTCCTGGACGCTGTGCGAGTTCCCTGCGAGCCTGCCCTGTCGATTGAAGGTGAAGGCGACGAGGGGAGAGCAGCTGAGGCTGAGGAGCTCGTCTCTTCTTTTGCACCAGAACCGCTTGTGTTTCTCCCCCCCCCCTCGGAAATCGATGTGACACTTGGCGTTTGTCGGGGCGGCGTGGTGCTGCCAGCCGCCCGTCAGGACAGCGTGCCCAGCGAGGTGCGGATGGATTGATGTCGAACCGCGCTTGACGGCGCGAGTTCTGGCCCAAGGCCTCGGCTGTGGGCGCCGGTCGCTCCCCTCCTTCTTTTCGGAACCCGTTTAGAAACGCTAAGCCCGGAGTCCGCTTCTCTTCCTTCGGGTCTTCCCCTCCACTGCAGGTTCATGCAGGTGAATTCCAGGCTCACACATTCGTTTCAGGTGTATGAGCCCCACGGCGTTCCTGTGAAGGAAAAGAAAAAGGTTCCTATGAGGAAATGCCAAAAGCAAGAAACGCACATCAATTCGCGGAGTATTTCTTAATAAATTATTTTTGTCACATCTTATATCTGAAGATTAGTTTTTTCTTTCTAAGCTCACCTCAGCATTTGCGACCAGGAATATTTTTATACGACGTTCCTTTAGACAGCGAAATGCCGCAGTACGTTAAAACTTCTTGCTCCGGAAAGAGAAAATTTGTTTAACCCAAAAATAGGCTTTGGCTTACTTTTCCTGAAGGATCTGCGTTTATAACACGACTCCACTTTCTCGGACTGCAGAACGCTCGATTTCCCCAGACCGGTTTTAAGCTCAGCCTCCCGGATAGCCAAAGTAAGGGAAATAATTGAGGTGAATTATATATACGGTATAATATTTGAAATGGGAGAAGAAATCGCAGGGGTGCTTGGCA